ATAAGACCCGCTTATATATAAGGCAAAACGGACCAGTGCGACAGGAGTACTGCATCGGTGTCTTCAATCGCGCCACAGTGTCGCACAGGAGTCGTCAGGGAAAACACCCGAGAGTTGCCATGCTTTGTGTCTTGGTGCTTTGTGTAGAGGAATATTGAGGGCTGTAGGGAGTTCTGTATTATACTGAGTTTTTCTTTTTTGGTTTTTATTTGATAAAGACTTGTTGGTTCATAGGGCCTAACACATACATGCATGTATCTTCATTTCTTCTTATTCCCCACTTTAATCTCCCCTTCTCAATTTCCTACTACATATCGCGTGCATTGGTGGAGTTTAAGATTTTCATAAAATTGTTACAAAATATTTTTGGAAGAAAATTTGATGCTTTACGCAAATATATCTAAAATATACCGTTGTTTTTTTGAGCGATTTTTTGAAACGTTGCTGCGCATGAATTGCCAGACTCGCAGCCATGCTTGCTGGCAAAATACGGGGTATTGGCACCGAATCCAGATACTGTACAATATCGCGAAATTCTCTTTCAGCAGCAATATCTCGCGGTGATCTTTCCTTTTGATCCGTGATATCTTTGCTGGCTCCAAGATTTATCAAACACTCCACAGCATCAAGATGCCCCTCCGAAGCTGCCATGAATAATGGTGTTCTATCCTGAAATTTACAAAATATCTAGTAAGGTTGTTTGAAAATTGCATGTTCGAATAGGTCAGATAAGTTTACAATCTTTTTTCATCCCTTAGCTGTAAACACAGAGCATCGGGTGCGAGTAGAAGTGGGAATTGTCAGTGCAGCCTCCTACTCGCCAGTTTATTCCAAGAAGAATCAACCCCAAGGTTATGAATTCCCCGCTCTGACTGCTTACCAGTGCGTCCTGGGCATCCTTGTTGGCGCCATTGTGCACAAGCAGTCGAATTATGTCTAAGTTATCGTGCTGAGCAGCGAAATGCAGGGCTGTCCTGCCGTCGTACTTTATCATGCTTTTGTCACCGACGCATGCCACATCTGCTTTCGCTTTCAGCAACATTTCGGCTATTTCTGTGCCCATACGGAAATCAAAAGTTGAGCAAATGATTAATGGTGTTCGATTGTCGTCGTCCAGTGCATCCACCTATAAAGCAATCTTCACTGGATATGAATATTTGCGAAAATTCACAAATGGAATAATCATTATTCTTAGTACGATTTGACTGATTTCCACATACACTCAACCTCTCCAGATGAGCATGATTTTTTCTCAAAATTAAACTAATTCCGAGACTGATAACAGAAGTGAAAACTCATGGATTTCCAAAGAAAAATTTGCGTGGAAATGCATAAAAGTGGTATCAAAAATATCAAATTTCTTGGTAAGATACTAAAATTTACTGCAAAAGTGCAAAAATTGGTAAAAATCAGCTAATCGGTACGAAACTGTACGTGGCCCATTATATTGGGATGAATTTTGCTGCGCGTTGGCTTACGTTAACACGTCGTGTATTTAGCAGTAATTGCACGATGTCCGGTATATTGACAGCAACAGCATGGTGTAGCGGTGTTCGGTCTTTTTCATCCACCAGCGTTGGATCAGCTCCGTACTTTATCAGACAAGCAACCACCGCTGTTCGACCGCTCTTTACAGCCAACATGAGTGCCGTATCCTCGCTATCATCCTGTGCATCGATTTCAGCACCGGCTTTCAGCAGATTGTGGATGTCTTCGATGGATGCTTCTTCGCTCTTCGCCTGATTTGAGGCCGTTTGCATCATGGCTGTTCGGCCATGCTTCCCAGCTACATTCACCAGTGATGGTTCTATCTGCAATTAGCGAAACCTGACTTAATGATAGGGTCGAAATGTACAAATTTAACGATGCGTTTACATTTCCAAACAAAGGGTGCCACTCACCTTACTCGGTTCCGGCAACCCTACTCAGAGCCGTGAAGAGCCCCTATTTTTGTGTTCCTCTTGCTGAAACTAGGCTTTTTCGTGAAGTCCCTATAATTCAGCGTTTAA